TTTTCCTCCTCCTCCTCCTCCTCCTTCCTCCTCTCCTCCTCCTCCTCCTCCTCGTCCTGGATCGTTTGTTTGGCATGTGAATTATGCTAACGGAATTCCCCACATGATGATGTTACGGGGCTATCGGGATCAATGTGGATTTTGTTATGAAATGGCCGACCTGCCCTCACCCCTTTCCATCCTGTTCTATCACCCTCTTCCTTCTTCTCTGTCTCTGATTCGTCCTCGTGCTTCTCTCCTATCCTCCTCATTCTCCTCCTCCTCCTCCTCCTCCTCCTCCTCCTCCTCCTCCTCCTCCTCCTCCTCCTCCTCCTCCTCCTCCTCCTCCTCCTCCTCCTCCTCCTCTTCCTTCTTCTCCTCCTCGCCCTCCTCCTCCTCTTCCTTTTCCTCATCCTCTTCCTCGTTCTCCTCCTCGCCCACCGCCATATCCTCGTCTTCCTTGTTTTCCTCATGTTCCTTCTCTTTGTCCTTTCTTTCCCTGCGTGCCTCGCACGGAGGTGTCAAAGATTGCCTCGCGAGGTATTCGAAGAGTCTGTCACGCACCCGGAGATCTCCCAGCGCATTCCTGTCGCTCACATTGTCACCTAGACTGTTGCCCTCCTTTCCTCACTAGCTCCCAAGAGCATCGTTTCTGGAAGGGCTGGTTGGGGGTAGTAGAAGGTCAACAATGGTGCCGCGTCGCGGTATGTCCGCTGACCTTGCGGCCGTCGTGCCCGGGCGCTCCGGGCGGGGCCTGCGGAGGATGAGGAGGAGGACATGAAGGAGGTGGGCGAGGAGGATCAGGAGGGGGAGGGGGAGGACGGGGCGAGACAGCACGGGCGAATGACAGCACAAAACCTGATAAATGATATGGTGTGCCGATACCCTCCTCGCTCTGGCGGGGCCTCCCAGGAGGGGTGGGAGGAGCACGAAACCTGATAAATAATATGGTGTGCCAATACCCTCCTCGCTCTGGCGGGGCCTCCCTGGAGGGGTGGGAGGGGCACGAAACCTGCAGGGGTGGGAGGGGCACGAAACCTGATAAATGATATGGTGTGCCGATACCCTCCTCGCTCTGGCAGGGCCTCCCTGGAGGGGTGGGAGGGGCACGAAACCTGATAAATAATATGGTGTGCCAATACCCTCCTCGCTCTGGCAGGGCCTCCCTAGAGGGGTGGGAGGGGCACGAAACCTGATATGGGAGGGGCACGAAACCTGATAAATAATATGGTGCGCCGATACCCTCCTCGCTCTAGCGGGGTCTCCCTGGAGCAGTGGGAGAAGCACAAAACCTGACAAACTATATGGTGTGCCGATACCCTCCTCGCTCTGGCGGGGCCTCCCTGGAGGGGTGGGAGGGGCACGCAACCTGATAAATAATATGGTGTGCCGACACCCTCCTCGCTATGGCGGGGCCTCCCTGGAGGGGTGGGAGGGGCACGAAACCTGAGAAATTATATGGTGTGCCGATACCCTCCTCGCTCTGGCGGGGCCTCCCTGGAGGGGTGGGAAGGGCACGAAACCTGACAAACTATATGGTGTGCCGATACCCTCCTCGTTCTGGCGGGGCCCCCCAGGAACAGTTGGAGGGGCACGAAACCTGATAAATAATATGGTGTGCCGATACCCTCCTCGCTCTGGCGGGGCCTCCCTGGAGGAGTGGGAGGAGCACGAAGCCTGATTGGTATGGTACGGTATAGTATGATAGGCATGGTATGGTATAATATGGAATGGTATGGTATGGTAGGTACGGCATGGTAGTAGGGTATGGTACGTATGGTATGGTATGACAGGTACAGTATGGAATGGTACGCATGATAGGGTTAGTATGATATGGTAGGTATGGTATGGTAGTAAGTGGTAGTGAAAATGGTAGTGGTAGTACAGCAGCAGCACCGGAGGAGGAGGGGGAGGGAGGAAGAAGGAGAGGGTGTTATTGGAAAACAAAAACCCCACTCAGGATGTGGGGAAAATGTGTTTGGCTTCTGGCGATCTTCAGAAGTGCAGAGCGCTGGCAAGCTCACCTCGCATGCGACCGACTACCTCGCGCCTCGACACGCTCGCGGGGCATCTCGGGACCAAGACCTGTGCTTGTACGATACGGAAGATCACTTATCAAGTGAGACCACTGGGACGGGCACCACCCTTTTCCGGGCGCGCAGCTGCGAGCGGCTTGGGCGTCGGAGGGCCGAAAAGCTCGCATAGGCCACCAGGAAGGGGTCCGAGTAGATAGGGTCGGACAATCGCGCCACATCACCGCTGCATAGCCGGTGCATCGGCGATGCCAGCGCGGAGAAAATCAGGCTCCACATCGAGCCGCAAAGCTGGTGCATCGGCGATGCGGCGCGGAGAGAATCGAGCTCCACATCGCGCGTCGCCGATGCATCGGCGATGCGGGACCTCCTCCATCCTACTCCTCTCTCCTAACCTCACCTCCTCCTCTCCTCCTCCCTCCTCCTCCTCACCTCCCCCCCCCCCCCCCTCCTCCTCCTCCTCCACCTCCTCCTCCTCCTCCTCCTCCTCCTCCTCCTCCTCACTCCTCCTCCTCCTCTCCTCCTCCTCCTCCTCCGCCTCCCTCCTCCTCCTCCTCCCCTCCTCCTCCTACTCCTCCTCCTCCTCCTCCTCCTCCTCCTCCTCCTCCTCCTCCGCTCCTCCTCCTCCTCTCCTCTCCACCTCCTCCTCCTCCTCCTCCTCCTCCCTCCTGCCTCCTCCTCCTCCTCTCCACCTCCGCTTCCGCTCCTCCTCTCCTCCTCCTCCTTCCACCTCCTCCTCCTCCTCCTCCTCCTCCTCCTCTTCACTCTCCTCGCTCCTCCTCCTCCTCCACCTCACTCCTCCTCCTCCTCCTCCTCACCCCTCCTCCTCCTCCACCTCCTCCTCCGCCTTCCGCCTCCACCGCCTCCACTCCTCCTCCTCCTCCTCCTCCTCCTCCTCCTCCTCACTCCTCCTCCTCCTCCCCTCCTCCACCATCCCACCTCCACCTCCAACCTCCTCCTCCTCCTCCCTCTCCTCCTCCTCGCTCCTCCTCCTCCTCCTCCTCCTCCTCCTCCTCCTCCTCCTCCTCCTCCTCCCTCCTCCTCACTCCTCTCCTCCTCCTCCTCCTCCTCCTCCTCCTCCTCCTCCTCCTCCTCCTCCTCCTTCCTCCTCCTCCTCCTCCCACCTCCACCTCCTCCTCCACCTCTCCTCCTCCTCCTCCTCCTCCTCCTACTACTCCTCCTCCTCCTTGACAACACTTTTACCAAAGAGGCTGCGGAACGGGTAGCGTATCAGGCTCTCGTTTAAACGTTTTGAACTATCTACGGTTTCCCTCAACACGCCATCGAGGTCGCCAGGTCCAGCTCTGGAACCAGACCTCGGAGGGAAATCTGATGTTTGTAAATGTCTCCAGCTTCTCCCTCGGCATTGGCTTGGTTATCATGTCTCTCGGATTCTCGTGAATATACACCTTTCCAAAGTTGAGCCTGCCCAGTTTATCATGTCCCTCGGATTCTCGCGAGTACACACCTTTCCAAAGTTGAGCCTGCCCTGTTCTCTCCACTGCTGCAGCGCCAGGAAACGGAGATCCACGGGCTTCATCTTTCCTGGCCCCCCCTTCTTCACGATGTGCAAGGCGCTGCTGCTGTCGCTCATCACGTACGGCACTGTCTTCTCTTGCCTCTCCTCGAGCAGCGACGCCAGGCCAACCACTTCCGCTGCTCCTGAGCCCAAAGCGTACAGCTAGCTCTCCGCCGAGCTCAGTGCCACACAGCCCCGTCGCCTCGACCACGACGGGATGGTGCACCCGTGGTACTGCAGTATACCTGCGCTTGACGAGATCCTGTCCGCCTTGTCGTCGGCCCAGTCGGCGTCGACCCAGCACTGAACTGCAACGCTTCCCTTGTTAGCAATCAGCTGCATCATGTAGTCGAGGGTACCCGCCAGGTACCGAGACATCTTCTTCAACCGCCTCAAGTCCTTCTCCGCGAGTCCCGACATGCCCCGGCTTAGAACTCCAACTCCACGTTGAATGTCGGGACGGTGACTCGCCAACTGCAGCAACTTCCCCACGCATGCCCTGTAGCGGCTAGGTCCAGCCGCGTCCAGTTTCACCTCGTCGTGTTTCATGTTCACCTCGTTCTTGGTCTCGGGCAACACTGCTAGCTTAGCGCTCTCCAGGCCCAGCTCCTTCAGGACATCATCGATCAAGCTCGTCTTGCCACCGATCGTGTAGCCGTCCTCGACCTTCTCCACCTGCATGCTTAGGAACGTCGCCTGGTCTCCATTCTTGGTGATCTTCACCACGTCTGACAGTTTCAGCCTTTTGCCCATGACCTCCAGCAGCTTGTCGACCTCGTCGCGTGGCCCCGTGATCAGGAAGACGTCGACATGTCTACCTGCCTTCATCTTGTTGCTCAGCTTCATGAAGAGACACCCGTCGTGGCGACCTCTGACCATCTCCGGCTCCTCCATGGTTGTCGCGCCGTGGTCCCCCCGAGCCTTTGGTGCCCCTTTGAGACCAGGAAATGCACACAGAGCTTCCCAGACATGTCCTTCAGGTACTCCAGCTTCTGGTGGTGGCTCCAGGAAGATGCGGTCCTCGGTGAGCGGCGCCTGCTAGAAAGCCCCGCTGCAGTCGCCGAACGCCGCGGACGGCCTCTCGTGCGACGCGGGGCCGAAACGCGCAGCACCCTTTTCTTCCCGCTTTCGCCTCAATCCGAAACAGAAGTGGCGGGCGCGCCGCCCCCTCCTCCTCCTCCTCCTCCTCCTCCTCCTCCTCCTCCTCCTCCTCTTCCTCCTCCTCCACCTCCTCCTCCCCCTCCTCCTCATCTTCCCTCTCCTCCTCCTCCTCCTCCTCCTCCTCCTCCTCCTCCTCCTCCTCCTTCCTCCTCCTCCTACACTCCTCCTCCTCCTCTTCCTCCTCCTCCAACCTCCTCCTCCCCCCTCCTCCTCATCTTTCCCTCTCCCCTCCTCCCCTCCTCCTCCTCCTCCTCCGTCCTCCTCCTCCTCCTCCTCTTCCTCCTCCGCCACCTCCTCCTCCCCTCCGTCCTCATGTCTTCCCTTCTCCTCCTCCTCCTCCTCCTCCTCCTCTCCTCCTCCTTCCTCCTCTCTCCTCCTCTCTCCTCCTTCCTCCTCCTCCTCCTCCTCCTCCGGCTCTTCCCTCCGCGGCTTCATTCCGCGAATAAGGGATCTCAATCCGCCCGGAGGTGCAGGCGGCCGGCGCCCACCCCCACCGCCCGCGTTGCGCTTGCTCGGTTCGATGCCGCACCGTACGCCTAGGATTAAGTCGGGCCTGTCCCTCTACAGGGGGATTTCGGACAAAAATAAAAAAATACCCCCCCAAAAAAACTCTAAAAATACTAACAAATAGTCATAAAATAGTCCCCAGACAATTTCTGAAATTATTTTTGAATAGTCCCCCTGTAGAGGGACAGGCCCGACTTGAGCCTAGGACCCCATCTGCGACAACGGCGGAGAACCCCGCGCTCAGATCCAATCCTTGGCGGCGCGCACAGGGGGGTGGGGGGAGGGGGGAGGGTTTCTTAGAAGGAGGCTGCCTCTTAGAAGGCGCCAGCCTTACATCTACAGACAAGGCCCACGCCTTCCAAGAAGCAGGGGTGCTTCTTGGAAGCCCTCCCCGCTCCCCCCACCCCCCTCTGCGCGTGGCTGGAATCCAGTGCGGGAACAGTACGAAGCAGTCAGTGCAAGCTACGCTGAGGGAGCGGACGATTCACCGAGCAAATGTCCGTTGAGTGCGACCGCAGGCAACAGCTCTGTCTGCAGCACGTCTGCGCGGAGATGCGCGAGTGCTTTCGGGAGAGACGGCAGCCGGACGAGACGAGCAACGAAGGTTAAGAGGACGAGCTAGGGATCGGGAGCCTCGGAATGGTCGCATAGTCATTCATCCGACTTCTCATCATCCTGCTCGTCCTCCTCCTCCTCCTCCTCCTCCTCCTCCTCCTCCTCCTCCTCCTCCTCCTCCTCCTCCTCCCAACACCCTCGTGGCGGACGTGCCTCTTGCGCGGCGTTCTCTTCCACGGGCGGCCGCGGCGGCGCCGCCGGCGCCGGCTGTTCCTAGCAGGGTCACGACATGGAAGACGAGCATCGAGTCGCAAAAGTATGGAAATGAAACAACGCGAGGAAGACTGCAACGACGACGGCGACAAGCAGCGGCGGCGCCGATGGCATCAGAGGGCCTGGCACAAAGGCAACAAGGATGCGGCAACCATGCCCTCCACAGGAGATAAAAGCCTCAACGTCCAGAACGCGCGGTACCCTGCGGCACCTCGTCCAAAAAGCGCTGCGCCCGTCGACGGCCCTGCGCATGCGCAACGTCTGGAAGAGGCATCGGCCCATCCTTGGCGGCGCGCACAGAGGAGTGGAGGGAGGGGGGAGGGCTTCTTAGAAGGAGGCTGTTTCTTAGAAGGCGCTGGCCTTACATCTATAGATACAGCACTCGCCTTCTAAGAAGCAGGGGTGTTTCTACGAAGCCCTCCCCTCCCTCCTCTGCTCGTGGCCGACATCTGGCACGCGCTGCCCCTGCCTGCACAGCCACGCCAAGGGCCCATCGGCACGACGCTCCACGCGCGCCCCAACCAAAGGCAACGACTGGTCGACGCCAGCGCCACCGCAGAGCAGCCGCCGTGCATTGCACGGACGCGTGCGCCAGGCACGCGGGGCCCGGCCGGCGGCCTCTGGCCAACGCAGACTCCACGAGTAACCCAGCCGCCGCCCCCAGCAGCCTCACAGCCACCAGCACCTGACGCAATTACCCGACCAGGCCCAGCAGCTCCGCGCGCGTTAGTTCCCCGAGTCGACGGTCTCGGGGCTCGGGCAGCGGCGGCGGCAGGCAAGTGTCGCGCAGAGCAGGCATCCAGGTGCCGTCCTGGAACCACATCCCCAAGGCGTCAGTCTCCGCCTGCGGAAGCGGGGTCCGCTGGTCTTGCCGCGCGTGCTCTGAGGGGCCTGGCTCGCGCTGGGAAATGCCAGCCCTCGCCCCGCCGCTCCTGGCGGCACGGGGCGACCGCCTCCTGCGGGCGGCAGAAGGCCGCCAGCGTCCCTGCCCCTTCTCGGCGCGGAGCCAGAGCGTCGTCGCCGGCCGGAGCCCATCTCGGCACGGGCGTTCCCGGCCGCGCCCGCTCGCCCCCCCGACGCTCTCCAGACCTCCCTCGGCGCGGGGGCGCCCCACTGGTTGTGCCCTCGGAAACGAGGCGGGCAGACGCGCGCCTGCGTCGGCGCCCTGATGAACGCCGCGCGTCGTCTCGCCTTCTAGGGGCTGGCCCTGGGACAGGCTGGTGGTGATCGTGCCGCGCGACTTCTAGCGCCACCTTTGCCCTCGCGTCGCGGTCGGCCAGAGCTGCCGCCCTATCCTTCCTGCTGGTCGCGCCCAGGAGATTGGCTGCATCCCGATCGTCAGCTGCGCCTGCCCAAAGCATTGGCGGGCCCAGGTCGGCCGCAACGGCGATGGTGACGGCCTGCTGCGCCCCCCCAAGCTCCCGGCCCTCGCCTAGGTCGCGGACGCCGGCACAGGCTGGCGTGGAGACGGCGACCAACGGGTTCGAGCTGAGCCTGGCGGCGGGGCAAGCCTTCTCCCGCGTCGGCGGTTCTGATGGATAGACCTGTTTCCCGCCCCTGGCGAACATGGCCCGCGCGCCGGATGGCCGCGCGTCCCAGATGTGGACCAGGCAACGCGCGCAGTACCACCTTGCGTTCCACGCCCTGGCTCGGGAAGCTCGCCCCAGTCTGCGAAGCTGGGGGGCCCGCATACCAGGTCGCTCGAGAGGGCCTCAGCGGCGGGCCAGGGCGGGTCAGGGCGGAAGGCGGACATTCCAGACGATGCCTTTCCCGTCTCCACGTCAAGACTGGCTCCGCCTGCGGGCGCCCATCGCACGCACTGAGTACCCCTTCTGCACCGCCTGGTTCCCGAACCTGTCCTCCTCGACACGCTCCCGAGGATGGCAGCGCTAAGGGTGCTCAGGCACTGCGGGCTGGGCTGCGACAGGAGTGGGTCCGCGGGTCCGCGAGCAACCCGCCGTCAATGGCAAAGACCTCCGCGCGTGGATCTCTCCACTCTGGCTTTCCTGGTCGCCCAGGTGGCGCGGGACGGCGCCCAGCTTGACTTCGCCCAGAACAGCGCACCCGCGTGCTCGCATCTCGCCCACCCAGCATCAAACGCACCGCCATCTGCAGCAGACCCCATGGAGATGGGCCGCCTTCCGGCTGGCCGCAAGTAGCTGCTTGGCCCCCGCTGAAACACACACACACACACACACACACACACACACCAGCGTCGGCACCCAAGCTCTTGGACTTCAGCGGGTGTCCGCACATTTCCATATCCCTCCAGTTGGTTGGGCGGCCTGCCTGCTTGGCCACCGGGTTGCGGTGAGATACAGCCACCTGGCGTCCCACGGCGCGCAATAGATCCTCGATCCTGGCGCGGAGCGTCCTGAAGTCCTTGTCCTGCATCCCGGGGTTCGCCCCGAACCTGTCTTGAATGCGCAGCCGCGCTTTGTTCCAGGGGTCGCAGAAGGCGAGCACAGACTCCCAAACAAACCTGGCGGGGCCAGGTTTGCCGCAAATGATGAGCATATAATCGCCAGCATGCTCGTGCCCCAAAACGAAGTGAAGGGCCTACTGTCGGGTCCTAGGAGCCGGCCACGCAGTTCTCCCCAGCTATCAGCTGGCCATGGCCTTGCGATGGTCGGCGGAGGGCTGTCTGGCGCGCCGCTGGCACTGGCGGGTAAAATTGCTCCAGCACGTTGGTGGCTGCCGCGGGGTGCCGCTACACCTGGGCGGTGCCGCTACACGTGGTCGTGCACACGGAAACCTGGGCAGCGCTGCTACAGCGACAGAACGATGAGCTGGACGCAGCAGCGCTGGAAAAACAGCTCCCACCGGAGCCTAAACGACTTGGTACGTCCAGCAGGTGGCGTAGGAAAGAAGGCCCCGTCACCCGCGGCACCCCTTAGGCGGTTCACACTCAGGCGGCTCCCACGGAGGCGGCTCCCACAGCGTCGCCTTCCACGGCGGCGGTTCCGGTGGCGGTTCCCGAGGCGGCTCCCCGAGGCGATTCCCAAAGCGGCGGCTCCTACGCAAGCCGTTCCCACACGCGGCGGTTCCCACGCAGGCGGATCCTACGCACCCAGGGGCGGTTCCCGTGGCGGCTTCTTCCGCGCGGCGGCTCTTACGCTGGCGGCTCCCACGCGCGGCGAATCCTACGCTGGCAAAGCGCAAAGCGACCGCGGACGAATTGTACGAAGACCAGAAAGCGCACGACCAAGCGGAAGAGCGGCGGATCCCTCAGGCAGTGGCTCCCTCGCGACTGGGCGATGGCGTCCATGGGCCATCATCGCTTCGGTCCGTCCATGCCTGCAGTTCCAGGGACATGTCGCTCCTGTCTGACTCGCAGGTTCTGCGGCACGCGGCGGAGTACCGCAGCACTCGCCGGGGTGCCACTGCGAGGCCCATGC